TTGCTCTGTCCCTCCACAACACAGGGCAAGGGGACACAGGGGCCAGAACCAGTGTCCCCATCCTGGGGGTACAGCACACAGCACCAGGGCAGGGCGGGTAGCTGCCAAGAGGTCTTGAGGACTCTGCCCATCACCAGGGCCCCCAGCAGCCCTTTGCCGGATGCACTCCTGACCCCGTGTCTTTTTCTTCTGTCCCTGCAGCTCTGGCACTGCGCAGTGGAGTATGCCACCCCGCTGCAGTCCCTCTACGCCATGTCCCAGGATGAGTGTGCTGCCTTCAGCCGGGAGGACCGCCTGGAGCAGGCCAAGCTGTTCTACAGGACGTTGGAGGAGATCCTGAAAAGCTCCAAGGAGTGCGTGGGTACCTACCGGCTCATTGCGTACGAGGGTGAGTGCAGAGGGGAAGAGGGCAGGAGTGCCCAGCACGGCAGCTGTGCTCCTCCAGCCCCGAGTGACTTCGGATCAGAGCTAACAAGGGGAAGTAGGCAGGATCCTGGTACGCACGGTGTCCCCACTTGCACAGGCATAGGGGTCCCTGCCGCAGTGGGGAGGAAGGGGCTGCTTCCTGACAGAGGACTGCTTGCTGCAGGTCTTGGAGGAGTGGTGAGGATGCTGACAGACCTGGTCCCTGCTGAAGTCCCCAGAGGCATCTGAGACAATCAGTCTTCTGCTGGGGCAGCAAGAACGCTCCCTCAAGGGTTAAATAAACAGCGGGCTTCCAGGAGAAGGTGCAGCTCCCTTCACTGCTGATGTTCCTGGGAGAAACCACTGGGGCAGTCAAGCCCTCCCCAGCACTGGGACCAGTGTTGGTGTGTGTGCTGGCTCAGTGGCATTCCTCCTGACAGGGGACGAGGAGGAAGGCTATCCCGTCTCCCTTTTAATTTCACTTCTGCTCACCTCTGCCAGAGCAGCAGAGCTTGAAAACAGCTTGCTGCTTCTTGCTGAAATTAATCTCATTGTTTTTCAGAGGAAATTCAGTGCTCTCCCTGATGGGGTAGCAAGGTAGTTCCCATCACAAAAAGCACTACTGGGAAAAACCAGCACACAGTGCCCATAATTTACTCTCCTTCCTGCACTTTGTGTTTTATTTTCTTTCTTCTGGCGTGCTAAAAGGGGGAAGTGAGAACCATATTTTGACTTCTCAGGAAATTTTCCCTATTTTGGGGCATCTCCCAGAGACTCTGCTTTGCTCCCTGCCCAGACTCCTGCCTCAGGCCAGGCCAGTGAGGGTAGGTTTTGTCTTCCTTCTGTTCCAGAGTCGGGCGAAGCAGAGAGCCACTTCTTGTCCAGAGAGATCCTCTGGCACCTCCAGCAGCAGCATCGTGAGGAGTACACCATGTATGAGGGGAACCAGCCACACAACCCAAACACGACCCTCAGCTCAACAGAGCTCAACCTCCAGATAAGTCAGTCAGACCTGCCACAGCCTCTGCGAAGTGACGGCTTCTAAAGCACCAGCGATGCCCAGCCCCACACCGCTGCCTCAGGGCTCCAGTCCCCCTTCCCCAAACCCTTTCCTCTTGCAGCAAGTGTCACCCATGGCAGCGATCCCCAGCCTCCTGCAGGAACTGCCCACCAAAACTTTCTTTGCATCATGTTCACTGGAAATAGCTGACTCAAACCACAATCCTGTGACATACTTCCCATTTTCTTTGTTATGTATATCTCATATATTAATCCACGGATTTTTTATTTTTTTTTTTAAATCTGCTTTGATTCATATGATATAAAGCATTTTCCTCTGGAATGAGTTGCATTATCCTGAATCTTGGGCATGATGGACATCCTGTAGTGTTGGACAGGGCTTTGGAAATCCCAGCCACGAGTGTGCACGTGTGCGCTGGGTCCAACACATCCAGCCAGCGTAGCCTGGCCAGTCTGATGGCTTCTGCAGGCGCAAGGAGCATGTGCAGGACTTCCAGGGTACCCTCCAGCCTGACGGACAGTGCAGTCACACCCCAACATCCTCACTTTCCACCCACTCGGGATGCAGAGGTGGAAGAGGAGGTCAGGCCTGGGGAACTCTGACATTTGGTGGTACCACAGTGTGGGAAACCTCCCTGCCTTTGCTCCATTCAGTAATTTCATGCTGAGAGCCATCTGTGGTGCCTGCTGATGCCCTTCATGCCCACATTTCTCCCAAGCACTCTGCAGAAGTGTTTCTCCGGCCCCAAAGGATGTGCCAGACCACCTGGAGCTCTGGGAAAGGGGCAAGGTGCAGTCCTGCACGAGGCTTTTTGGTGCAAGACATCACATGTTGGGCTGCTCAGGCCTCTGTGCCTGGGGGTGAGGTAACCCCAACAAGCCCAGCAACCCAGGCCCTCCCCGCCTACTCGGGCCCCAGTTCATCAGGTAGAAGCAGGGCAGAGGACGTGCAGCAGGTCTGCTCAGCATGGCTCAGAGACAGACAATTTCCTGGCTCTGCTCATCTAGATGCTCCTCCAGGATCTGCCTAGAGATGCCCAGGCTAAAAAAGGGGCTGCACCCGTGCCACATTTGCTGGAGAGACCCAGCTTGTGAGAGACGGAGCCTCCTCTGGGGACACTGCCAGGGCCAAGCAAGCAGCTGAGAAATACAGTCCCCATGGTGGGCTACTGCCAGAAGCCATCCCAGCTGGGAAGACAGTAAAATCCCAAAGGTGCTCCGCATGACCTGGGCCAGCCATGGGGCAGGGGACCCAGCCAGTCCCTCAGGCAACGAAGCACAAGTGATGCAGCATGGCCAGAGCCGTGTGCCGTGAGGCAGAATGGTGGCTCCAGGGCTTGTTGCTTGCCAGAGATCATGGCATAGCTTTGTTGTGGTGCAGCTTGGCAAGGTCACAGAGCAGGGGCCAGAGCTGTGCGCCCACTGCTCCATGCCTCAGCTTCCCCTTTTGCCAAGAGCTGAAGGAGGATCTAGCCAGCCAGTTCTGTCCTGGGAGGGAAGAGGGGCAGAAGGCAGCTCAGTTGGCTTGTGACTCTCTGATGTTGCAGCACCCCTACACGGATATGATCCCTTTGGTCCCTCCCAACTCCCAGGACTTTGGCAAAAGGACTGATGTCCCTTGAAAGCTCCCATTCACCCTCAGCCTGAACTTCCAGCACCTGGGCCCAGCCACAGCTGTGACCATCCTCTGGGCTAGCCATGGAAGCCCTGAGGGGACTGTGGAGTCCAGGGGGCCAGCAGAGGTGACCCAGCCATGCGGCTGAGGATGGCGACAAGAATGCCGTGCCTGGTTCCCTCCTGGCTCAACTCAGAGTTTCCTGGGTGACTAGGCCCAGATCCATACACACAAAAGTCCTAGGACGCTACCACCTCTGTGGATACTGGTGAGTCTCCAGCTAAGCCAGACTCCCTGCCACTATTTTTCCAATGTGGTTTGGCTCTCTCAAGTGCTGTCTGGACCTGGTGGATGATATGGTGCCAGGTATGCGACCTCTCTAACAGCAGGCTCAGGCTCCTCACTGGAGCTGTGGCTGCCCAGCCTTGCCATGTCCTTGCCTCGTGGCTCCTGCCAGCTGCACCCAGCAAGCTGCTCCTTCCAGGAGCCCAGCTTCCACTGGTGTGAGCATGCACAGCCTGTGCAAGGGCCATGATGCACTGAAGGATAACAAAACCAGGGCCAACCGCAGCTGTCAGGATCACAGCAGGGCACTGGGGTTTTTTGTCACTCCCAGGCCAAGGTGGAAGTGTTTGTGCCTGAGCAGGCTCACCCAAGATGGAGAGATGCTGATGGAAAGGGCTGGGTGGGTGCAGGCTGGGGCTGAGGCCGCACCCCCACTCCTGCCCTTGGCTGCCCAGCTCCTTTTACTCCGATACCTATTTGTGCTTGCAGATCCATCCCAAAGATGTTGAATGCACTTTCCTCTGCCCATGGCTCCCAAGGGAATGGTCACACTGGGACTCTCTTGGACAACTTGCACCACCCTGAGCCGGGAATAGGCCGATGTTTTACCCTTCAGCGGGAAGGTGGGTGCCCCAGCCAGACACCCAGCCCGGGAGGCAGAGGTGCCTGGGGAACAACCCTGAGACAAACTAAACAGCGAGACATTTGTGTTACCACTTCCTCACATACCTGGTACGACAGCCTTGGTGCTGGTGGGGGGCTGTGTGCATGGGGTTCCCAGCAGGTGAGAATGCAGCTCCAGTGGGCAGCATGGCACAGCAGCAGATGCTGCTGGGAGCCTGGTTTAAGAGCAGCCTGCCTGGGCTGCCTCCAAGGGCAGCTCAAAGGGCTCTGCCATGACAGTGCTGCTTCAGCCTTGTTTGCTCCACAAAGCTCACTGGGCTCATCTCAGAAGTGTAGCCTCACCACCCAGTATTCCCCTCTGAATGGATGGAGAAAAAACAGGTCGTACTATTTTGAGCAGATGGATGAAAGCTTCAATGACTGCAATTTCTGTTGGGAAGAAGGCAGCCTGGAAAACCCTCCTGCTGCAGTCAGCCACCACCAGCCACCAGTGGCTCAGCCACATGAAGCCTGCAGAGCTGAGCACTTTGCAGCCACCCAAAAAGACCCAGCAGCGCTGTTACATCCCGCTGGCAAACCAAGGCACAAAGGGCCTATAACTCAGCTCCTTAACCACCATTTGAAGCCTCTGGGATTCAGTAGGGCCCTGGGACCTGCTCAGGCTCCCAGGCAATAAGCCCAAGGCCAGCAAGCACCTCGACATCCTTCCCCTCATGCAGTGCCAGTGCGGCACAGCACCAGGGATGCCTGTGAGCCCTCTGGGACCTGCATGACAGCATTTGCTGGCCCTCACAGGCTGGTACCACTCTCTCGGCCTGGAAGTACACTTGGCGCTGAGACCTTCTGCCCCCAGTGTGACACTGAGTAAAAAGGGATCAGCTACAGCTTATTCCTCTCATCTAAAGCCACTCATGAAACAGCTCCAGTTCCTTCTGTCTCTCCCTAGCTTTTCTTCCCAGGATAAAACTGCTCTTACCTGGCAGCTGCCTCTCAGCAAAGCACTCCAGGTGAATATCAGGGCTCTACCTTTCACGCACATGGGAGAACATGGTGGGAGATGCCTCTCCCCGACGCCAGCCCAGCAAGCTTACAGAGGAAATTCAGCCGCAAGTTGGTCCCGCTGGGACTGGGAATTGGAACCCATTTCAGGATTCAGTAAAACCTTAATCTGCAGCCTAATCTCTGGGTACTGCATCTGTGCAAAAGACAAAAATGACAGATGAAAGGGCTGTTAAGGGAGGGTTTGTGACAGCAAAGGCCACTGCAAAGAGCCAGCTCCTCTTGGCCTGCTGGTTTGCAGGAGCGTTGGGGACCTTTGTCGAAGCCTCTCGGATGTGCCAAGTGCCTGGTGCTGCACTGGCCGGAGAGGGGAGAGCTGTGCTGCTGCAGGCAAAGGACCTCCTACTCGTGGTAGGAGAAACATTACCCCTGGGTGCATTGAGCAGAGTACTGCACCCAACAGGTCTGGCCCTGGGGCGTGGACTGTTGGACGTGTGTCCTGATCACCCACCTCCTGTTTCAGAGCAGTGTTCTCAAGGGCACAGAGCATATGCTGTGGGCACCTGCTGAAATTAGAGGTAAATGCATGGCATCGGGGCTGAGCTCAGCAACAAGGGCACAGCCAGAAGCAGCTGCATGAGCAGCAAAGCCAGCGCCACCACAGTCCTCGAGGGTTTGCACCTTCAAATCCAGTGGGAATCCTTGTGGCGCACAAACACTGTCTCCTTTCTAACTTCCTGCTCCCTTCCCATATGGATGCTTCTTATCTTGCCCATCACCGCCTTCAATCAGATTGGGCTGAAGACGACTGATTAGCTCAGCCCATATTAGCAGGGGACAGGTAGAAAGACAGGCACAAACCCAGAGGAAATCTGACAGCGCAACCTTGTTCCAGCAGAAAACCTGCTGCCAGCCAAAGGCTCAGCTCCTGCCACTGCTCAAGGGCAAAGCCAGGGCCAAGCAAATGGCAAGGTGAAAACCTTTGCTAGCAGAGTGAATCGCAGGCAGAGCTGAATCAGAGGCAGGAAAATCAAACCTCAGAAGAAGTGGAAGCTTGCTGCCCAAGCTGGCAGATGATAATAATTTTCCCCTTGAGCTCCCTAACAGCACAAGTCAGCTGACTTTTTGCTCTAATTGCAGTGTTCCCCATCAGACCTGACTCAGGACTCCCCAGCTTCTGGGGTGGCTGAAGGTGCCGCAGGGTGTCAGCAGCCCAGACACAGCCTGTTCTTCTACTGGCATGCACCAGCAAGGCAGTGGTGCTCCCCGCACAGCCCCGTGCCCTCATCACCACTGTGCCCCCCGCCATGAGGGGGCAAAAGCCCCAGATGTCTCTGGTCACCACACAGTGCTCGGACATGGTCTTGCTTCAGCGATGCCCCATGCTGCAGTACCATGGCTGCCAGTGGGACATAGGGGTATGCGAGTGGCACAGCCAGGCACTGCCCTGATCTGGAGCCAAACATGCAGGGACTGCCAGGGCCATGAGAGGTAATGAGCAG